GGTCCGCGCTCTGCCTCGCGCCTACGCGGATCGCCACGGGACCCCCGTCCCTGAAATCCCTCTTCCTTCCTCACTGCCAACCTTCGGGAAAGTCGTCTCTCCCCGGGCTTCCTCGGATCCTCACTGGGCTGTGCCTCCCTGATTTCCAGGGCGCTGGGGGGATCCAGCGAGAGCCCTAGGCTCACACCGCTCGGTATTAGTCTGTTGTACAGCCTCTCCTCCCTCATCCTCAGAGAGCGCATCCGCGGCCCAAGGACTCAGTTTGCTTCCCTGCGTTCTCTCACCTGGCCTTTCTAAAAAGGGGGTCCCCAATAATTGCTTGTTGCATTCAGAAAGCAGAGAGGGGTGCCCCTAATTTTTCTCCCTACCCAAATATTCTTCTCACGGCCACTTCCGCAAGAAGGATTTCTGGCCGTAGCCGGTTTTGCTCAGTGGGTAGAGCATCGGCATTGCGGACTGAAGGGTCCCAGGTTCCATTCTGGTCAGGGGCATGTACCTTGGTTGCGGCACATCCCCAGTAGGGGGTGTGCAGGAGGCAGCTGATCCATGTTTCTCTCTCATGGATGTTTCTAACTCTCTATCCCTCTCCCTCTTCTCTGTAAAAAAATCAATAAAATATATTTTTAAAAAAGAAGGATTTCTGTTCGGAAGAACTTTGCCCCAAGCCCTTTTGTTACCCAATCCCTTGAGTTCGCTGATTGGGGTGCTCTATTCAAGAACGAGGCATGGTTGTAGGTAGGTAGTTTAATTTACTTGCAGCAAGCAAAGGAGATAAGGAATTCACATGCAGAGCTCTGCTCTGTCTCCCGGAAGGGAGGCTTAGCCATTGCTTATATATACTGTTGGGTTAACTACATGTTGATTTCTCCTTTGCAGTTAACTTACCCTGTCTAGCTCATCCTGTTACAGCTGCTTCTGCAAAATACTGTGATAGATTTTAACATTTAACAAATATTCATTAGGAACTGCCCAGACTTTGAGACCCTTACCTATCTTAACACTTTTAAATCAGCATTACTGTACCTACTCATTTTAGAAATGAGGAAAGTGAAGTCCGGACAGGTTAAATAACTTGCTCAAAGCTTCACAGCAAAGCTGAAAGGGCAAAACTGGGACTGGAATCAGAACCCACCTGTGTGATCTGCACATGGCTCAAGGCTTGACCTTGAGTGGCTTCCAGACAGTCTTTGGCAAGGAAGTGACTGGCTGGGCAGTTCAGGAGGCAGAGACTTATGAGGAACAGCAATTAGAGGAAGAGAAGAAATGGAATGGGCCCTACTCAGACATAGAAATGAAGAGAGTTGACTCTAAAAAGAATTTCTAATAATAAAAATTTTAAAAAATAATTTTTAAAAATTGTAAACAGCATAAACAGTATTAGGCCAGTGTGGCAATTCTGCATGGTGGCAGCCCGAGATGCATGAAAAGCCAAACCTCTTATTGGGACCTCAGTGAGCTCCATCATTGGCTGCAGCTGGCACTTTGGCCCCACCTCTCACTAACTCACTAACTCGCCCAGAGTTTCCATCCTGTGGGAAGAGCCAGGCAGCTTCCCGGGAAAGGGAAGGTATGAAATCTACATAATGTTTGAGCAGGCTGGGACTCTGAGGCCTCTTAGCCTTTGACAGAAACTGGGGTTCACAAAATCGGAAAACTCTTACCAGGGAACACTGGGCCGGAGACAGAACTGGTGGTAGGATTCCGTCCTCCTGACCTTGAATCCTGTGCTCTTTTGACCAAATCGGTGCCAACGTAGGAGAATTCCGTGACTATCTCCATGTCAGCCTAGCAGAGAAAGAGAACACAGTCTTAATAACCTGGGGATTTGTAGACTGTGTCCCAAGTTACAAAAAAACTAGTAACGGAAGCTTGAGCTTTCAGAGCCAGGTACTTGCAATTTTTAACTGTACCAAGAACTGGCTGGGCCATCATCCACGAAAGGGAGCTGATAATACATCCTGCAAGGATTAGATAAACTCAGCCTGCAAACCAGGCAGTACAAGGCCTTGTCTTCCTAAGCATGACTGAATTAGTAGCCCTGACTGCTATTCATAAGCAAGTTTAAAAGATGTTAAATAAGCTATGCAGGTTGATTCCCCTCTTCCTGCTGGACGATCTCACAGGAATTTGGCCATGTCTGGAGGTGCAGCCACCTTCCTGGCTCTGGGGGCTGTGCAGTTACTATTTAAGGCAGGGGTGGGCAAACTTTTTGACTCGAGGGCCAAAATGGGTTCTTAAACTGGACCGGAGGGCCGGAACAAAAGCATGGATGGAGTGTTTGTGTGAACTAATATAAATTCAAAGTAAACATCATTACATAAAAGAGTACGGTGTTTTTTTTCAATAGTTATATTCATTCCAAACGGGCGGATCCAGCCCGCGGGCCGTAGTTTGCCCACGGCTGATTTAAGGTTATGTTGGCAGCATCCTTTGCATCTGTGATAGGTTAACAAGAATAGAGGTAATGTCAACAGACATAAAACAGTGGCACCTTAATTTTAAGTACTCTGCAGACTTTTTCAAGTAATACTGTTGTACATGGTGTTCCTAACATGTAGGTAGTTTTGCAGTCCATCTCTTTTGAAGTGGCTGTTTCAGGAACAAGCAGTAATAGACCTGTTTTAATAAGACTATAGCTCTTGGCAGTCCATGTGAAATAGTTTCTCCTCAAAAAATTTTCTTAAGCCCTGACTGGTTTGGCTCAGTGGATAGAGCATCAGCCTGTGGGCTGAAAGGTCCCAGGTTCGATTCCAGTCAAGGGCATGTACCTTGGTTGCGGGCACATCCCCAGTGTGGGGTGTGCAGGAGGCAGCTGATCGATGTTTCTCTCTCATCAATGTTTCTAACTCTCTATCCCTCTCCCTTCCACTCTGTAAAAATCAATAAAATATATATTTTTAAAAATTCTTAAATTAACTGAATTCATTCTTTTTATACAATATAATTATATATGTACATATAACATTATAAATAACCATCTTATAATTTACTATTTTCCCTCTTGAATTTGAAGATTTGTTTTTTCCTTCTTAGGAAGGAGAGTTAAATGTTGACTTTAAAAACACCACACCCTGGCCGAAACCGGTTTGGCTCAGTGGATGGAGCGTCGGCTTGTGGACTGGAGGGTCCCGGGTTCGATTCCGGTCGGGGGCATGTGCCTAGGTTGCGGGCACATCCCCAGTGGGGGATGTGCAGGAGGCAGCTGATCGATGTCTCTCTCATTGATGTTTCTAGCTCTCTATCTCTCTCCCTTCCTCTCTGTAAAAAATCAATAAAATATATTTAAAAAAAAAACACCACACCCTGAACTAAAAACAACAGTGGCATATATATGTTATTAAAGAAAAAAGCATAACCATAGACACCCACTGTTTTAACCTTCAATGAATTTAGAAAACTCCTGGTTCAAAGGTCAATGCTCAACCACTGAGCCACACCAGGCTTCACTTCAAATTTAATTTCCACTTCAAGATTGGCTTAAAAACAAATAAAATTCTTCTACCTCCCTAAAACCTCAACTTAAAAAAAAAAGCCTAGTGATGTGCTCTGTTGGGTTTTAAATACAGAGGAGGAAATTTCTCTAATATTCACTTATAAAGTCTCTAGAGACCTCAATCTAGTAGTGGAAGTTTAATTAATTTCAATTACAAGTAAACAATAAAGTATTCATTTAGAACCAAATAGCTATAAATTTGGGGCCCCAGGCAAAAAAATAATCAGAGCCCCATAGTGCCCCCACCCCACTCCTGCTGCTAACTGAATTCTCCTTTATTTCTATGAACTTAATATCTACACAATGTTTTTTAAATATCAAAAACCTTTAAAATACAAAATGAAAAATAGCATCTTCCTTCTGCACAACCTACCTTACGGTCCCCTCCACAAAAGCAACCATTATCAATTATTTTTGCAGCTTTCCTTTCACATTTTCAAATAATATTCTCACACTGAATATTATTATTTCCTGATCTGCTGATTATATTCTGTATTATCTTTTTTTTAATGATTTGCGAGAGAGGGAGGAAGAGAGAGAAAGAGAGAAACATTGATTTGTTGTTCCACTTATTTATGCATTCATTAGTTGCTTCTGGTATGTGCCCTGACTGGGGCTCAAACCCACAACCTTGGCGTATTGGGACAACACTCTAATCAACTGAGCTACCCAGCCAGGGCCTCTTGTGTATTATCTTTTATGTTGTGTTATGTTAAGCTGAAAGCTTAACCACTGAGCACTCCCATCTGCCCTCTTGCCAATCTATATCATAGTTTTCATAAAAATAATTGTCAACATATGTAATTATTGCTAATAAAATGATTATATAATGAGAGCATTTCTTTCTTAACAACTTTTTATTTTTCGGTCCTATCCCCTTTTCCTGGAGAGTCAGCATATTCTAGTGGTTAAGGGTAGGGACCCTGGAGCCAGACCCTCTATCAGATCTTG